CACCCAAAGGAGCCCCAGCCACCCCATCCTCCAAAGGGGAGCCCATTCACCCAGCAGTGACTCCTCCCTCCCCCCAAAAGGCCCCAGTATCCAAAGGAGACTCAGCCACTCCATCCTCCAAAGGGGAGCCCACTCCCCCAATGGTGACTCCTCCCTCCCCCCAAAAGACCCCAGTTCCCAAAGGAGGCCCAGTTACCCCATCCTCCAAAGAGGATACCACTCCCCCAGTGGTGACTCCTCCCTCCATAAAAACCCCAGCATCCAAAGGAGGCCCAGCCACCCCATCCTCCAAAGGGGAGCCCACTCCCCCAGCAGCAACTCCTCCCTCCCCCCAAAAGAACCCAGCAACCTCAGTACCCAAAGGAGGTCCAGCCACCCCATCCTCCAAAGCAGAGCCCACTGCCCCAGCAGTGACTCCTCCCTCTCCCAAAAAGGCCCCAGCATCCCCAGTACCCAAAAGAGGCTCATCAGCCACTCCATCCTCCAAAGGGGAGCCCAGTCCCCCATTGGTGACTCCTCCCTCCCCCAAAAAGACTCCAGCAATACCAACACCCAAGGGAGGTTCAGCCACCCCATCCTCCAAAGGGGAACCCAGTTCCCCAGTGGTAACTCCTCCCTCATCCAAAAAGACCCCAGCACCCAAAAGAGGCACAGCTACCCCATCCTCCAGAGAGGATCCCACTCCCCCACTGGTGACTCCTCCCTCTAAAAAAGCCCCAGCATCCAAAGGAGGCCCAGCCACCCCATCCTCCCAAGGTGATCCCACTCCCCCAGTGATGATTCCTCCCTCCCCCAAAAAGGCCCCAGCACCCAAAGGAGGCCTTGTTACCCCATCTTCCAAAGAGGAGCCTATTCCCCCAATAGTGACTCCCTCCAAAAAGGCCCCAGCAGCCTCAGCACCCAAAGGAAGCCCAGCTACCCCATCCTCCAAAGAGGATACCACTCCTTCAGTGATGACTCCTCCCTCCAAAAAAGCCTCAGCACCCAAAGGAGGCCAAGCCACCCCATCCAAAGGCGAGCCCACTCCTCCCTCTGCCAAAGAAGTCCCAGCACTCAAAGGAGACTCAGCCACCCCATCCTCCAAAGGGGATCCCACTCCCCAAACAGTGACTCCTTCTCCCAAAAAGGCCCCAGCACCAAAAGGAGGCTCAGTTAACCCATCCTTCAAAGGAGATCCCTCTCTCTTAGCAGTGACCACTATCTCCCCTAAAGGGACCTCCACTCCCCTGGCTATGACTCCTCCCTCCCCTATAAAGGTTCTAGCTTCCCCATCCTCCAAAGGCAATCCCACTGCCCCAGCAGTGACTCCCTCCCCCAAAAAGGTCCCACCCATAGGACATCCAACCACTCCCTCCAAAGGGGATCCCAGTCCTCCAACAGTGATTCCTCCCTCCCCCAAAGAGTTCTCAGCACCCAAAGAAGGCCCAGTTAACCCATCCTCCAAAGGGGATCTTAGTACTCCAGTGACTGCCTACCCCCAAAAGGTCCCAGCACCCATAGGAGATTCAACTGGTCCCTCCAAAGGGGATCCTAGTCCTCCAACAGTGATTCCTCCTTCCCCTGAAGAATTCCCAGCACCCAAAGAAGGCCCAGTTACTCCATCCTCCAAAGGGGATCTTACTACTCCAGCAGTGACTCCTTTCCCAAAAGGGGCCCTTACTCCCCTAGCTATGATTCCTCCAAAAAAGATCCCCTCCCCCAAAGGTACTTCATCCAAAGAGGCTCCCACTCCTCCAGCCCTTGCTCCTGTCTCTCACAAAGGGACCTCATCCTCCAAAGAGGGCCCTATTCCTTCAGCCATGACTTCTTCCTCACCCAAAGGGATCCTAGCTTCTCCATCCCCCAAGGAGGCCTCTACTTCCCCGCTTATGACTTCTTTCTCCTCTAAAGACCCCCCTACCTCCTCAGCTTCAGTGACATGTACCCTGGGATCTGTTGCCCCTCAGGCATCTAAAGGGCTTCCATCAAAGGGACCCGCAGCTGTCAAAGAAGCACTTGTTGCCCCAGCTCCCACTCAGAAAGGTGCACAGGCCAAGAAGAATTCTCCTTCATCTCTTATGAGCCCAGATCCCTCAGCTAAGAATGGTTCCAGAGGACCCCTTTCCACAGTGGCTCCAGCCCCTCTACTCATAGTCCCTGCTCAGAAAGGCTCTTCAAAGACTGCAGAAGCTCTCCCTGTTTCTCCTGGGAAAGGCAAAGGTTCTGTTCATTCCCCAATGGGCCCACTGGCTCCTCCTGAGTCTAAGGCATCTACCCCTCTGGCAGCAGCTGCCTCTGAAAATGTCTTTCCTAAAACTGGATCACCATCTGTCTCCCCAGCACCTACCCACCCAGCCTCTCTGCCTCTCACTCCCACCCCAGTTCCCCCTCTGCTTCCTAAACAGCAATTTCTGCCGTCCTCAACTGGGCTGGTGCTGGAATCACCCTCTAAGCCCCTAGCCCCTGCTGACGAGGATGAGCTGCCGCCTCTGATTCCCCCGGAACCAATCTCTGGGGAAGTGCCTTTCCAGTCGGTCCTCATCAACATGCCCACCCCCAAACCTGCTGGAATCCCTGCCCCAACCCCCTCTGGCAAGCAGCCTGTTCTGAAGAACAACAAGGGTATTTGCCTTGGTTTGCTGTGTGCATGGTGTGTTGCCCACACCCCTCTTGGGGGCTACCCACCAATACTAACCCTAGGATGCGCCGCTTTCTCAGTGTACCTGCTTGTATTTGAACATAGAATGATAATTTTACATGCAAAAGTTCCAGGAATATGAAACGAAATCTTGGTTTTCATCACCTCAGATACCACCTTGTTACATTTGGTGTAATGTGATCCAGACTAAATCCTGGGTCTGCTGTCTTTTTTTACATAACCAATCTGACATTGAAAACCAAGACCTGACAGACCTTTAATTTGCTCTAATCTTTACCACATCACTAACCCTGTCCCTGGGCCTGGGATTTGCTAAAAATATTGGAAAATCTAGAGCTATTTGTCTTGTCTTTTTCACTTCTTAGTAATGACCAGTTGCCCAGGGACTTCCTTTTCTTAAAAATGTAGAGACCTGTTTTTTTCCTAGCCTAAGGAATGGTGCGGGTTTATGCTTTTTTCCTCCTCAGTAGTCTTTATTGATGCTTGGCCTTTGAATTAAGAGAAACATAAAATACTTATGTTTGGAAGAGGTAGGGGAAATCATAGTCTCTAGTAGAGAAAGTGACTAATGCAGCTATGAATTGATAGTCACTGAGAATCTTCTAACTAGATTGTTTAGATCAAATTGTTAGGTGAGTGGTTTGAAAGTAAGCCTGTATGTGTACACAACTGCTTTTGGTCTCCTCCAACCCAGTTTAAAGGATAAGAAATGTGCTGCCTTTTGTGCTTCTACAAGTGGTTTTTTTTTTCACTTAAGAACACCTTTTGGCAGAACTTTTCTGGATGGTTGGGTTAGTGCAGGGGTCCTCAAAGTTTTTTTTTTAGACGGAGCCTCAAGCTGTCCTCATGGGTAGAGTACTGTGGTATCACAGCTCACAGCAACCTCCAACTCCTGGGCTCAAGCGAGTCTCCTGCCTCAGCCTCCCAAGTAGCTGGGACCACAGGCACCCACCACAACGCCCAGCTATTTTTTGGTTGCAGCCGTCATTGTTGTTTGGCGGACCAAGTCTGAATTCGAACCCACCACCTTAGGTGTATATGTCTGCCGCCGCCTTAGCCGCTTGAGCCACAGGCCCCGAGCCCAAACTTTTTAAACAGGGGGCCAGTTCACTGTCCCTCAGACCATTGGTGGGCCAGAGTATAGGCCCCGGGATAAATTGGCTGCTAAGCAGGACAGGCAGCAACAGCTAGAACACCCAGCGGGCCAGATAAAAGTCCTAGGCGGGCCACAGTTTGAGGATGCCTGGGTTAGTGGGTAAAATTAGGAGTTATAATACATGGGTCATTGGTGTTTGCCAATGCCAAGAAATGAAGACTTTGAAGGAAAGAAAGCAGTTAGGGTACATGAACTACTCATCTATACCTAGAGGATGGGGCTGGATCTTTAATAGATATGTACACACTAGTTAGTGACTAAGGGTAGGACTGGTACGTTAATTTTGTTAGGTCTAGCATAAGGTAATTGACTTCTAACCCAGGCAAGCCATGCTAAGATACCCCTTCCTTACAGTCTCTACTATAAAATATTGAATGTTTGTCATCTTAGGGTCTGGAACAGAATCTGACAGTGATGAATCAGTACCAGAGCTAGAGGAACAAGATTCCACACAGGCAACCACACAGCAAGCGCAGGTCAGTATTCTCTCTCTCTTTGTTTTGTTTTGTTTTATAGAGATGGGGGGGTCTTACTATGTTGCTCAGGCTGGTATTCAGTGGCTATTTACAGGCGCAGTCCCTCTACAGATTAGCACAGGAGTTTTGACCTGCTCTGTTTCTGACCTGGGCCAGTTTACCCCTCCTTAGGCAACCTAGTGGCCCCCCACTCCTGGGAGGTCACCATATTGATGCCGAACTTAGTGGACACCAGATTGGCATAGCACACTATAGCCCAGAACTTCTGGACCCAAGTGTTCCTCCTGTCTCAGCCTCCCGAGTAGCTGGGACTACAGGCAGGCGCCGCTGCACCTGGCAGTATTCTCTTATTAACTGATACTTGCGGGGGTAAGGTTGATCAAAGCTGACTTTCCTATTTCTTTTTTTTTTGGGGGTGGGGCGGGGGTTGTTTGTTTGTTTGGGGTTTTTTGACAGAGTCTCATTATGTCAACCTCGGTAGAGTGTTGTGGTGTCATAGTTCACAGCAATTCTTGGGCTTAAGCGATTCTCTTGCCTCAGCCTCCCGAGTACCTGGGACTATAGGTGCCTGCCACAACACCAAGCTATTTTTTTTTTTATTGTTGTTGTCATTGTTGTTTAGCAGGCCTGGGCCAGGTTCAAACCCACCAGCCTGGGTGCATGTGGCTGGTGCCCTAACCACTGAGCAATGGGAGCCAAGCTTGACTTTGCTATTTTGAACTGTGGCTCTTAATAAAGGGAAAACTGCATGGAGATTATGGTATGCAGGTGTCAATTTCCAGTTAACTCAGAACTATTTTATCTTTTTAGCTGGCAGCGGCAGCTGAAATCGATGAAGAACCAGTCAGTAAAGCAAAACAGAGTCGGAGTGAAAAGAAGGCACGGAAGGTGAGATTTTTACATTAGAAACAAGAATTAAAGATTCTAATGAAGCAACTTCAGAGAGTAGAATACCTGTATTGGAACTCTTGTAGTAGTAGTAGAATCCTGTTTGGTTAAAGTAGAAGTTACTGTGGCAGAAAACTCAGGAGTTCTAAAAACTGCTTCTCCTTAATTATTTTTGTTTTGTTTTATTTGGAGACAGAGTCTGACTTTGTTGCCCTTGGTAGAGTGCCTTGGCATCATAGCTCACAGCAACCTCAAACTCTTGGGTTCAAGTAATTCTCTTGCTTCAGCCTCCCAAGTAGCTGGGACTACAGGCACGCACCACAACATCCAGCTATTTTTTTTTGTTGTTGTTGTTGTCATTGTTTAGCAGGTCCAGGCTGGGTTCAAACCCACCAGCCCTGGTGTATGAGGCCAGCCCCTTGCCACTGAGCTACAGGTGCCAAGCCTTTATTTTTTTATTTATTATTATTATTTTATTTATTTTGAGATAGTCTCACTATGTCACCATTGGTAGTATGCCGCAGTGTCACAGCTCACAGCACCCTCAAACTCTTGGGCCTAAGCAATTCTCTTGCCTGAGCCTCCCAAGTGGCTGGGACTACAGTTGCCCACCACAATGCCGGGCTATTTTTTTTGTTGTTACTGTTTGTTTAGCAGGCGCAGGCCAGGTTCTAACCCACTGGCCAGCGCCCTAATGGCTGAGCTATGGGCACCGAGCCCACCAGGCTTTCTTGCTCTAGCTGAGGCTGTGCTAGAACCTGGGAGCTCAGGCAGTCCACCCGCCTCAACCTCCCAAAGTGCTAAGATTACAGGCGTTAACCACAGTGCCTGGCCTTGGTTCTCCTTAATTTGTATAAACTTTTCCTAGCCTAGAGAAAGGGTTTGCTTTGATTGTGTTTTCTTTTTTGTTCTTTTTTGTTTTTTTTTTTTTTAGACAGTCTCAAGCTGTCAGCCTGTGGTGCTATGGCATCATAGCACACAGCAAGCTCCAACTCTTGGGCTCAAGCGATCCTCAATCCTCTTGCCTCAGTTTTTCTGTTTTTAGTAGAGATGGGGTCTCCCTTTTCGCTCAGGCTGGTCTGAACTCATAAGCTCAAGCCACCCACCTGCCTCAGCCTCCCAGAGTGCTAGGATTACAGGGGTGAGCCACCATGCCCAGCCTGTTCCTTGTTTCTTAAAGGTGCTTCCAAAAAAGTAGAAAACCTGATCTTTTCTATTCTTCAGGCTATGTCCAAACTGGGTCTTCGACAAGTTACAGGGGTTACTAGAGTCACTATCCGGAAATCTAAGAATATCCTCTTTGTCATCACAAAACCAGATGTCTA